AGCAAGAAAGATGGAAGAAAAATTATAAAAAAAAAAAGTATCTCAAATAGCACAGCAGTTGGAAGCTATTTAATATAGATTCCAAGTGGATTCCTATGCCTCATTAATAGGTCCTAGGGGGTTCATAATTAGAGTTAAAGTTTTAATAATCAATATAATTACCTTGAGTTTTCACATAAAGATTGAACAAGTAAAAAAAAGAAAACAGATGAAACACTGTCCTAATCACAGCTAACCTGAAAAATACTACGGAAATGATGCTTCATGAACCAGCTTTATCCTGTTTGGTTTCCTCATTAATGAATTCAATAAATCTTTGGCATCTATTTGTGCAAGAGTTGTGCTTATTGCTTTGTAAATTATGCTTTGACAATATGGAGGTCCCAGTGAAATGTCCAAGTGGACTGCATCGCTCACAAAATATATCTCATGGGCTAGAAGCCCAGGCTGAGCTTTTCTTGGCTCCTGGAGTATCTCCCAAACGGCAGGGGAACTTTACCTTCACTGACGCGGTATTCTCTGAAGTTTTTGTTTGCTTACTCTGTGCTTTTGTTTCTGATTCTTCGTCAAATTTGCCTGGGGTTTTGGTTGGCACACAGCCAATGGTTATTATCCTCGTTGGTGGCAACAATGAGCGGGAATGTGGTTTTATGGTCTGACCACTTAAACTTGGTGATCTGTCGAGTAGGATTGGAATCTGGTCTTGCTCAGGTGAAAGATGGCTGAACATGTTTGTTGTTTTTGTATTTGTGAGCTCAAATCAGGACAATATTTTATGCCTAATGGAAAAGCGGCCAGTCTTTTGAGATCTGGAAGAGTGAGATTTTGTGGTCCAGTTATTTTTTATCTGTAGCTGTGGAACTTATGCTATAAGTTCTTTATCTGTCTGTGTCTCTGTACCTGAAAGGGGGAAAAAGCACTGTGTGCGGGTGAAATGTTTTCCTATCTCCTGAGGATAATAATAAATTAAAATAAAGGACCCCTGCCTCTGATTAGTTTATAAAGACCAATAAGCATGCAAATAAATCTAACATTTCCCAAATTCCAAGAAAATAAAATGAAATTCTAATCATTTTAATGTGTCCCCCTTTTATAAAAAGACCATTCTCATCAGAACTGCTGACTTCAGAAGCATTTTTTCCCTTAGAAAACAAGTTTACATGATTAAAGTGAATTTTTACACAAGCCAGGCTGATTTGATAATCTGGTTTTAAAAAACAGATCTGTGTCTTTGCCTTATTTTACCAGTGTACAGTATAATACAAATGTAATTTCATTTTTAAATAGGTTGGATTTGTTTTAGCATAAAGAGATTAGTTTATCTGAACTTCTTAAATGTCTTATATTAGCTTACTGAAAAGATAAGCTAAGATTACTTTCAGATGATGTATAAGATTAAAAAATAGAAAATTTGTGCTCAACTAAACTGAATTATAATTGTGACAACCCTTTTTATATCATTAATAATTATGTTCTGTGATTTGTCGGCTTAAACAAAATGTCCAATATCTTTAAGTACCTTTGTCTTAACGTGCTCAGTTGTTCCACAACGTGAAAGAAGACCGTGAGGAACAAAAGTTGATGGAAATTAAAAATTTGTAGCTTTGCAGAAATGGAGCTTTATTTGCCCTGGTTTATAATTATAATGTATGCAAATAGTTAAGTTTATGAAGATGTAATAAAATATTAAAATTTTGGCAAAGTTTGTACAACTTTGATGGGTTTATTTATGAAGTAATTTCTAAAAATGTAATGCATGTACTATTAATGTAAAACTGTTTAACGCTATTGAAATGACAGGCGGATCTTGGAGAAATCAGCCTATGCTTACAAAAGGCAGTAAAAGTTTATTTTTCTATGTAATCTGCCCAGAAAGCAGAGTTTCAGTGTCCTCATGAGTAACTTTGTGTGTCTTATGCTAACTGGGACATATCCTTGCATATGTAAAATGACTAAAAAAGTTTCTCATTTCTGAATGATTTAAGATTTCTTGTTTATTGTAAAATAACCAATTGTCGCTTAATATTAGATAACCAAACTGAAAACGGTCATTGTTCTCAGGCATCCACAATTCTATACTATTCAAGTGATGAAACCTCTGATTAATATTGGATTTTGCCTTCCCAAGATCAGACCCTAACTTCAGAAAAAAAATTTTTTTCCCCAAGATACCTGTTACATCTGAACTATCTTTAAAATTTCACAGAGGAACCCTGGGCAATCACAAAGGTTTGTTCCTTAACCTCACAAAAAGAAGGCTAGAAATTATTAGGTTTGTTTGCTATACATGCCCCTTATTTATTAATAGCTCAACATTCTCAAAAATTGCATAGGGAGATGCATAGGAAGACAAATGAGAAGCTCAGCCTTCCTAGGCTAATTTTGTACAGCTAAAATACTATAATATAAACAAAGCTCAGAGACTGCATGCTTCACAGAAAGACCCTGGATATACATCCATGTCCTCACTCTGTAATACGTTCTTACCCTCAGGAGAAACACTGATTAAATAAGACCAACGTCTTATGCCCTGAATGAAGTTCTAACTCTCCTCCTTGCTGATACTGCTTATTAAATTAACCATAGATTAACCATGGTCTCTTACTCTTATCCTCACCAAGTAATTTCTGCTTTTCTTTCATGTTTACCTAAAACTCTGCTTACATCACAGACTAGAACGTGGCTTTAACAGAGAAAGACAGTCTTAGAGCCTGGTGGATAGAAGTTTACCAGGTACTCTTCACTCTTGATGTTTCAAAGAATAGATTTATGGGTAGAGGCTTTTGAGCTGACATTACGTAGACAATTACTAGGCAGCAAAATCAGATTTTCAGGACTTCTTTTAGTCCAGAAATAGATGACTTCATGAAATCAAATTAATTACCCAAGAGACAGAGGAATAAGAATTAATTACAAATAACTGGTTGAACTGATATAGAAAATCTAATTTCTAAATGTGGATATGTGTTTTAGAAAATTGGTATTATTTTAAATGTTTTATTTTCTGATGGGGAAAACCCTGTAGCATTCACCTTGACCTATCTCTAAACTTCAATTTAGTTGACTCTTGATTTTGCAAACTAAATGAAACATTCTTTTAGTGGTAGCTTATTCTGCTGGGTCCTTCAGAATTTAGGAAGAAATATTTTTTCTAAGAAATTTACTTTTTAATGGCAATAACATTACTTGCATAGGCTCGATAAGAATCTTTACTCCCTTTGGTGGGATGTAATCACACATATAGACTATTCAATAGAGGTCAAACCTAAAGTGTCATATTTTTAAATAAGCCTCATTTCACTAGAGATGACAAGCCCATTATTAAGGAAAAACTGTTATAACTCCATATTTGAAGCCAATACCCACAAAGCTCTTCCAAGAATTCGAACTAGGACCTGATGGTGGCTTACAAGCAGTAAGGAAAGTCACTTCCTGGGTTGCCAGGAACCTTAGCAGATCTTGACACTAGAGGAAAGAAAAATTCACCAACACATTTAAGTGCTAAAGATGAAAGCCAGTGGAGGTGAATTTCAAGTTTAGTTTCATATCCTTGGAACAAGAGTAAATGAGAGCATTTGAACAAAATCCCTGGAGTGATGAAAGCCACTGGAATGCTGTCTTAGATTCCTTAATAAATCATCAGATAGAAGTTAATTCTCCAGCTTCATTAATAATTGTTGTTCAGCACAGCATAGTGCTAGATTTGCTATCCATATACAAGAAGCCTTTTATATGCTAATTAAAACTTCTGAACTTATGCCAATGAATCAAGCCCAAATACAATGCCTTTTTGTGACTATGAAAAATCTCTGGAAATTACGATAACAAAGGGAACTGTCATATTGGAGCATCGCCTAACAGACCCACCCAAGTAATATCGAACTCTCTAGGGGTACATACATTTGTATTCATTCACTATTATTGATTAGGACATTTGGAAACTCTGTAAGAATAGACATCAACTCATCAAAAACTATGAATGATACAAATGATTCTTTTTCTAAAATATCAAATTTTGTCCTCTATAGATGCAAATAGTTTTTGTTCATTATAATCCAAAGGTTACAATTGTATTGTCCTATAGGGCATTAACTAGTTTGGTATGTGATTCAGAAATCTTATTCCAGCCTATTTTCTTTTAGTAACTAAAATACTTTTGATACTCCTATACTTTTGTAAACCCAGCTTTACCACTCTGCAGCTTCCCTCATTAAGGAAATACATAATTCATCACTAATGAATCAAAATAATCTCTGACACCTATTGATCCTAAAAACAAAAACAAAACAAAATAAAACCCTATGCTTAAAAGAAAAGAGAATAGAAAAATGCAATAGTTTGTCCTCTTCACTAATGGGATTCTCGAGGGGTGTTTGTTCCTTTCTCATTATTTTCAATATTTTTCCACAATAGTCATAAATCCAATTTAAACAGGAAAAGGCAACTCAAAAAAAATTTGAGTATGTGTGGTTGGGAGTCACTGTATGTACTAAGAGACATGGCTGAAGGGCTATACAGTGCACTTAAGTGCCATTTAGGCAACCTTCCAGACAACTGGCTATACAGAAAATTTTACTGCCTAATTGCCAATGCATTGTGGTTTCACTGATTATTTCTGTCATACCATGCAGAGGCAAATTTGATGATTATAAATAACACAAATTCGTGTTGCCTGCTTGTCTTAAAGAAAAAGTTTGTGAGACTTATAAGAAATTCAGTAACATTTACAACTACCTTTGTTAGGTTTATCGATAATTTATACCTGTGAGAACTCTGCGAAGCAATGTAACATAACATTAGGCACGTATGGGCCTTCAAAATACCCACAGGTGACAATTAACAGTGATCTGGGAAGAGGAAGGACAGCAGGAGAAATTCTAGAAAGGGACAGCAGTAGATGCTGCACTTGGAAATTCTATGCGCCCACATAAATCCTTGGAGCTTGTCTCCAAGAAGCCGTTCAATGAAACAGGGAAGTCAAGTCAGATGAAGAAGATTACCAGTCGCTCCATCTCCTGCTCCCTGAGTCTCTCCTCCCTCTGCCGCCGGTGATAATCCATCAGGTCATCGCGCCCTGAAATGGAGCTGATGCTGCTTTTCCGTTCCCGAAGGACAGGCTGGGGAGTTCCTGAGGCCTGTCTGAGGCTGTCCAAATCTGCATCATCCAACTCGACAGATCCACAAGAGAAGTTCCTCCTGGCCACAAACCCTCGGTCTGGCTCTCCAGGAGGACATGACTGACCGGAGCTGGTCCCCGAGTAGGAAGCCCTGTCAAGGTCATCAGAGGTACAGGAGGAGGTGGAGGCCAGAAGCATCTTCCGAGCCACTCGAGGACTTCCAGGGACACTGAGGGTGGAACTTACATAAGGATTGCCCTCAGACACAGAGGTTTTATAGGGTGAAGCCCCTGAGCTCAAAGAAGAAAAATTCAGGTAATTATCATTGTCTATTATGTTATGAGGTAGATCCTTTTCCCCCAGTTTCATTCGTTTGGAATTACCCAGAGAGTTTCTTGGAGGCAAACTGAGGGGCGTCAGTTGGTTCTCTGTGGCCCTGTGCAACCTGGGGAGCGATCGGCTGTAGGCGCCCATGTGACTCAGGCTGCTGCCTGAATACTTCCTAGTTCTTAAACCGATGCTTTCAGATGCTGGCTCTTTGTGTCTGGTCACCCTGGACTGAAGCGTCAGGTTGTCCTGGATACTCATCTTCCTGGCTTGCTTTGGGCTTGAAGGCATGCTCGCTGCCCCTGATCTGCTAATGGGGGAGGGGCCAGTGTCACTCAGGGAACTTCCATTCCACATGGCCAGGAGTGAGCCAGAAGCCTTCCGGCCTTCCAGCCCTCCGAGGAAGTAGACGTTGTCATGGGATTTATTCCTTGAGCTATATTTGGAATAGGGAGGCTTCTCTGAGAGCCTCAAGGACCTTTCACTGTCCCGGCCAGTATAATGATCCAAGTCCGCTCTCCCAAGTGGATATCCGTACCCACTGAGGGAGGGTGAAGTGCTACGTAAAGGAGTGGGAGGTTTCATGGAAATATTTTTGTCAGCTCCATCACAGGAGAAGTGCTTGCTTCCCTGGATTTTGGTCAAGGACGGGCTACTTCGGACACCGGTTCCCAAAGGAGAAGGGCTTCTCTTCGCAGGTACAGGTTGGGAGAGGGTTAAATAGGAGCCAGAATAGTCTCCATTGGCTTTAAATCTCAGGCTGGAAGAATATTTCCTGGGGCTCAGGCTCTCCATCATGTTTTGGAAATCGTTTTTGAGGGAATTCGCAGAAAAGTTTGCCTCAAAGCTACCGTTCTGTAAATCCAGCTGCTGTTGCATGTGGCTATGGTCTGCCATAATGTTGCTGGAATCTGTAAAGGAAAAAAAAAAAAAAAGAGAGAGAGAGAGAAAGTTTTACTTAACAAAGAAGATTTTAGAAGACCAAGCACTTGTCAGCCCACATCTGAACAAACAGCCTTGCAGTCTGACCTAATGTAATTAATAAACACTATTTCTATTTTAGTACTAAACCTAGCAAAACTGTACTGCAAAACGAAGAATAAAGACCAACTGATCTGGGATGTCTTTTGTTCTAAAGAAAAATAACTCAAGAGGACATCAATGACATGTGAGAGGAACAAATCCCTAACCAAGTACGGGGGCGGGATTAGGCCAGGACATAAAAAAGACAATTTCCCTTTAGTGCTCTAGTCCTAGCAGACCACCTGCTTCCTGAATACCTAGCAAATACCCAGAGGAATAATGCAGTGGACCTTCCTTTAGATGTCTCTGCTAGAATCATTAACTGCTCAGAAGTAAAGTCCTGAGGAAACAAAACTCACATTCTGGCAGAGACACAACATTTTGTGTTAGACACTGCTCGGTAACATCACAGTTAGAAGATGGTTCTTTCAGTGGGGTCTATGAGAGTTACTGTCTTAACAAAAAGACTTAATACAGCTCCTGCACCCATCAAAAAAAAAAAAAGGCAGGTAATAGAGGAAAGAGTGTTCCCCAAATTGCTGCCATATCAAGGTCAGGGTGGATGGAGTATTTAAAAAGTGATTTCTCCTTCATTTTCCCGGGTACCCCAAAATGCACCATGCTCATCCTTGAGCTCAAACTCTCTCCCCTCTCAGAAACACATTTCTTTCTCCCTCTTTTGCACCTATTTGAACCCACCCATTCTTCAAGGCTCAGATTAGGACTCTATCTTCCACGATTACAATTGTTTAAAAAATGTATGTGCCTATAAAAATATTTTGGGACTCTAGTTTGAACAACATTAACTTAAGAAACTAAAGTTTTAGTCCATGAAAATGTCTTAATTACAAACTATCCCTGCAAATGAGAAATGATAGAAAGATTTCATCTAACAGATAAAAATATTTTCTTTAGATGGCCATGGAAGTGAAAACACAGACATTCTCATTGAAACCATGCACTGCTAGGATGGTCGTCCAACTCCTCAGGCACCTCAAACACTAGTTATTACATCTCTGGTCTCTATAGAAATTGTGTTGCTTATGGTTAGTAATCCATTTCATAATGTGCTTGTTTCTGTAACTAGGCCACAAGTTTATGGAAGATGTTTATAGCTGGTATTTCTATCTTATCCCCACCCTCTCCTGACTTTCATTGTCCCACAGGTGAGACATTCAATGAACACAAGTTTTTTATTTCAATCACAGCCTTCCCCACTCCTTCCCAGCCACAGATTGAGAAAGTTCATCTTGCCTGCTCGGCCTCACAGACTTTCTAGGCAAATTTAGGCAGCCCGTTAAGGAACTGCTTTTAATCTACAGAGTGGGGTCAAGAAAGAGTCTGGGTGCTTAAACCCCAGTCATGGCTTTAGTATCCATCACCCCATAAAGCTGCAGTTTCCCCCAGCAATCTCTGCTTTGGGTTCCCTACCTTCCAAACCAAATGAATAAAAGCATGACTACCTTTTGAAATGAACCTCAAAAAAAAAAAAATGGAAGTCTCCTTTAGAATTGCCTCTCAGCTGGGATCGGGTCCTGCCATCTGGCTCTTGCCAGCTCTTTCCTTCCTAAGGGACAGTGCCATCTCTGCCCCCAAGACAAATGACCTTCTCAGCCACTGCCTACTACCACCAGTTCTGACCTTGAAAGCAACACCAGCCTGGTTTGAAACATATCTCACCATGCCCCCTTGGAGGACTGACACCAAGATGACCTCTAGTCTTGGTCCCTTCTATTCCCAGCTAACTTCATCTCTGGTTGGTTTGCCGTACTGAAGTGCCAGCAAACATTGGCCAATTCCATCAAGTTAAATATTTTCAAATTGAGGAAACAAAGACATAGGTGGATGCTAAAGACATTACAGTGTTATTTTTTAAGGGGGGGAGGGGAAACTCCCTCCATCACCATTTCCTCTATCCTCTATCAATTCTATCACTACTTTATCACTTCCTTCCTCATTCTATCCATCAACAAATCCTATCAACATTGACCTGAAAACATATTCTCAATCTGATCATTTCTTACCATTTCCACTGCTACCCCCTATTACAAGCCAATATCGTCCCTTGCCTTGTCTATAAGCTTCTTCTCCTACAAGAACAATAACAATGGACTGGAATCATGCCAAAAAAGTTAACATGGTTTTATCTGGGTGGTGATATTAGTAGTGATTTTTAATTCACCTTTCTCATAGTTGTTTGTATTTGCCACATTCTACACAATGTATTTGGCTTACTTTAACAATTAGAAAAAAAACAGTGTAAAATACTAGAATATAACTTATAGTTATACTTCTTTTTTAAGTTTATTAGACTAATTTTTCTTAAGTTCCTGTCCTATTTTTGAGCCAGATATTAGCTCTTCCAAGAAAGGTTATTTTAAAGAACTTCTTGCTCATACTAACTTAATATGTAAATACTTGACGACTTCAACATTTTTTTGAACTCTTCTAAATAACTCAGTAAAAAATGTTAATTATGCAAATGTATCCATTCCATACTTAATGCATTTGAAAAACTACAAAATCAAATGTAACACCTTCCTTAATATGAATAAAGTGAACAGAATAGTTACAAAAAAGTATCCAGATGTTTGCTGAACATCTGACAATAATATTAGTATCTTCATTTTTTCAAAATGTTCCTAGGATATTTTGTGATTTGAAGTGGTTCTTATTATATAGAAAAAAATTAAAATCTCAACAGATACCTCATTTATTAAGTAGGTGTTAAGTGGCTACCACATATCAGACAATCAGATATTAGTTTGGCAGGCATTAGTGTTGCTCACTAATGTTCCTGTCCTCTTCCTTTCAGAAACATAGCGGCATTGCTCTTCCTTGTCCCCGTGACATTGGGTGTGGCTATGTACCTTGCTTTGACCAATGAAATATGAGAGAAAGTGACATGTCAGTTCCAAGCCGAAACCTGAAGAGCCTCAGCAGGACAGATCATTTCTACCCTCCTGCTAAGATCACTGCCATGCATCCAAGTTTGTGGAAGTTTTTTTTTTTTTCTTTTCAAGATTTTTATTGGGGAATTGGGGGAAGGGGAACAGACAAGTTGCTGTCCTTTTGTTCTTCAGTCTACTTGTGGAGGACGTTGCTTCACTGGCCCAAGTTGGCACCATCACTGCACTCTTCCCGGGCGAGGCAGATCAGTCGCTGGCTTCTGGACGGCCGCTCACTGCAGCTGCTGGCCGCTCATGCTGGCTGCTGGCTACACACGGTCGCCCATGGCAACCCACTGCCGCAGCCCATGGCAGCCCAGCTCCAGGTTGAGCTGTTGTTCAGCATCTTAGCTGTAGAGGACAGTGTCACTGGCCTTCATACGTGGGATGCAAACCGGGGCTCTCTGGCGTCCCAAGCCAGCTCTTAACCAATGCACCACTCGGCTGGCCCCAAGTTTGTGGAAGTTTTATTAGCTTGCACTCCTCAACAAGGACACCATGGAACAGGGTCCTTGCCAACCCTAGATTGTCTTAAGCCACTGAGATTTGTGAGTTGTTTGTTACTAGGAAGGTGTTAATCTTCATTAAGTGCCTACCATAAACCAGGCTTTGAGCTAGGCACTGGGAAGTATATTGTCAGACACCATTTCCTGCCTTTACGCAGCTTACAGTCCAAAGGGGGGAGATGCACATATGAACAAATGCTATAACAATGTGATACATGCCTTAATAGAGGATTGATTGACAGATTGGTAAAGGAGCATGGAGCGGGGTTAACCCAGTGAGAGTGGTAGTCTGGGAAAGTTATAGTAGAAAGAAAAAGCAATGAAGCTAAGACCTACTAAAGGAAAGGGAATCTGATGATATGATCCAATAGTAACATAAAGCTACTTCCACACCTAAAATGTTATGATATTAAGAATATAAACAAAATCCCACACCCATTTGACGCCAGTCTACTTGTATATCCAGCAAATGTCCTATCTCTGACAGAACAAAAATTGTGTAGGAAACAGCAACAGTTATTTTCTATATCATGATCCTTAACATTCTAGGTTGTAACTCTGCTGGGATGAATCGTATTTAACAATCATGTATTTCTTTCTCATAGTTAATCCTTTCCCATTACCACCACCATGTAAGAAAGATAAGCCCTCTGGAGCCCCACAAGCCATATGTCCATCCTAAGAGTGGTTTCAATAGGACAGCATCCTCCAACCACTTAGGATATTTTAGACAAAGATACAAAAGGAAATCCATAAGCAAGGTGTTAAAATAGACATTTCAGAAAATAATTAAAGCCAGTTAGTGGGGAAGGTTTCGGTTTTAAGTAATGTATACAAAATGGGAAACAGACTAAGTTAGATAGAAAAGGTATTCCCAAAATGTGCAGAGACAGCAGTCCAGACAGCAAGGCAGGGCAGATGTTTTAAACAGAAGTCAAAACTAAGCATGGAGTCCAAACTCTGCATTTTAAATATTTACTCTACAGTACAGTTGAAGGGCTTAACACCTTATGTTGAAATGTTTAATTTTTGACTCAGCAGTGTAAGACATTGATGTTATTTTAGATGATAAAAATGTATTAATATATTGCAGTATGTTTGTAGCTGCAAACGCTACTTAGTCACCCAAATGAAATATTACCAACTCTGCTCTCTCTTTAATTTGGGCCAATAAAACTATAGTATAAAAGTACTACAGGTTTCTTACTACCCTACAGGGTAGCAATACTTGGTCCCCCTCTCCTCTTCACCACACATTTTTAAATAAAAAAATGTAATTACTGAAGCAGTTTGGTTGGCCAAACAAAATACAACACCAAAATATTCCAAAGCAATATTGGCTGAAAGAAGATCATCTTTGCAGTCTCCAGGGAAGAGACAAGCAGGACATTTGCAAATAATAAAGCACATCTGAGAGACAGCCATGCAATATTT